CCCCCCCCCCCCCCCCCCTCCCTCAAAAAAAAAAACAATCCAAATATTGCATGTTATGAAATTGTGATTTAATGGAGAATCGTTAAAGAAAAGCATCGATAGTTAAAATAAAAAAGACAAAACAAGAACAACACACATTTATTGTCTCCGATTACATATTGTCAAAGGAAAGCAAAGCATACTTATTCCAAAACAAGGTATGTATAATTATGTTACATTGAACGCTGAAAACATTAAGGCGCTTACATGAAGGAAAGTAAATAGTATTGGGAGGGTTGGGTCACACTGTGTAATGTAAGGAATATCGGAGAAGGAACCCGTCCGATAATAAATAATGAAAGTAACAATAAACGTAACCTTTCTCCCAAGGCACCCATGCTATCCCGAACGACCTCCTCTCACGTAAGCCTGTTCCAAAAAATCGTGTTTTTTACCCCCTTTGCTCCTATTTCGTCTAAGTTACCCAAACAAGGGAGGAGTGGAATGGTGAGGTCATCAACAGTTTGACCGACCTCAATCGCTAGGAATGGCTCTTCCTGGAACCACGACCTTCGAGGTTGGCTGGGGAGAGGTGCAGTACGCCGCATAGACCCATTTATGGGGGTGGTGCAATGTTGTTGTGGTGGAGCCAACGCCTACTTTTGAGATTCAAGCCTCGTGCTTGGACGAGGAGGACGGGTGTCACAGACTACATCCTAGCGGTTGGGACTCGGCCCGGTTGGGGAAGACTTTTATCCTTCTTCGATTTTTTTGTGAAAGGTGACTGACTTAGAATACCCAAGGCTGGCTGCAAGTAGGAGCCGCCTCTATCGAATGCAATTGGAGTTAAAAGAAACTTCATTCCCAATTACAAACTTATACGAACAGGAAAGTGAGCCCTGTCGAGGAATGATAAAGGGTAAATGTGGATAAATGAGGTACGTATAACTCGATCCCACGGGGCCCTGAAAAGACTAAGGGGCGTATAGGGAAAAAAAAAAAACATCTGAAAAAGAAATTATCGTTTTTTTTTCGAACACATAAAAAAAATGCATGGATAAAAGAGAAAAAATAGGATTTGTCATCAGTTAATTAACCTTCATTTTTTTCCACATAAATATTTTAAAAAAACGAAAACAAAATAAAGAGCGTGAACTCAACGTTTTCTTCTGTTCGTTTTTCATTTTGTGTTTTGTTTTCTTCATTTATCCTTTGACTATATTTTTATTTTTTTTAAATGATTTACACTATATTTTTTTTCTTACCACCATAATACCATAATTACATCTGTGTACAAACATTCTGGGATATATTTTATCCTCCTGATTTTTATATCTTTCATATTCCTCATATCCTTTGATTTTTACGTTATAGTCGTCTAAAAAGAGATGCATATACGCCCGTTTAAATGGCGGGGGATGAAAACGTAGATTAGGATTCACGCGACATTCATTTATCTGCCGCTCCAAACTCTTCTTCCTCTGTCAACATGTCCTTGTACGTTCCGTGGAAGCGTCGAAAACGCCTTCGCCGTTGTGAAACACCTGTTACCACTTCTTTGTTGTCGTCTTCAACGATACCGAACTGTGATAACTCTCCTACCATTGATTCTGGTCAAGTTCATTTTCCTTCGTTACAGAATGCTTCTTTTTCGTCAAATGATGGATTAGGATTGCGCGCACGTTCGGATATTACTCGCTGTTCCTTTACGACTGAAACACGGGTGTCATCAAAAGATGAACACCGCAAACGTGGTCGACCGCCTTCCCAGAGTCGTCGGACTCGAGGGTCTTTACTACTACCGGTAGGTGCTATGGGTGATGTGACTGCTCACAAAAGTGACAAACAACCGATGACAACTCCAGATCGCGACCTTGATTGTTCTGTGGAAGAACAGTGTAGTGATAGATCTTTATCTTTCCAACAACCGACTCTATTGYTGGATGATATCGCAAGTCCTCAGTTTTTTTTCTGTAGGAGTCAAGGAAATGTTAATGTTCGTACGAGTCTGATTCGTTGCGAACAAAACCTGCCTAGCACCTTGCAAAGTGGACGACCTGATGAAAATTGTACGCATGATGCAGTCTGT